TTCAGTAGGTGTTAAGCCAGACTTAAGGAAACCAAGGCTGTTACTGTTACTCCTATTTCTACTACTACTAACTAGGGGTGTAGTTTAGTAATAGTATTACTGGTACTATTTTGGCTGTATTATTGGTCAGAAGGGACACCGATTAAAGTCAGCGCGGGCCACATTTCGCCTCAGTCTCAATAAGAAGTGTAGTAGTATTGGTACTAACACTGACGCTACTATTTATCAGAAATGAAACTGATTAAAGACAACGCTGGGGCTCATACCCCATTGCTCTCAACAAGGAGTGTGAATCTGGGTTTATGCTATTCCGAATAAATAAGTGTTTGGGGCCATGAGCCCAGCAGAGCTTGCCTTGGTTTCCGCCCTCTCACCGTTGTCTACCGTTGTCACATTCTGGTAAGTTTGGGCTAGGATACTACTGCTAGAAATACGTGCCTATTCTAAAATTCTAATTATGCTTACTAAGGCCAGTAAACAGTATGCTATAATGCGGCCTGTGCGTGCTTTTTAAGAAGTCGGCATCCAGTATGCACTCCGAATCTGTATGAGGTAAAGTGATTAGCTTATGGGCTGTATAAAGCGTTATTAAGTAATAGTACAAGTCCTACCATGCCTTTATGTCGTACGGTTTGGCCCCCTATAGACTACATGTAGGCCTACTATAATATCTATCTGTGGCTTAGACTTTACATAACTTCTACTCATACCCTCTTGAGCACAATTAGGATCTTGATTCTGGGTTTATGCTATTCCGAGCAAACACATGTCTAAGAGCCCTGAGCACAGCAGAACTGGCCTTGGTTTCCGCCCTCTCACCTCTGTCCACCGAAAGCTCTGTTACATTTTAGTAAGTTTGGACTAGGATACTGCCGCTAGAGCTAATACCGCAGATGGTTAAGTAAGCTAAAGCCAGGTGACTACGATCTTCAGACCATGATGACTTAGTAGAGGAGAAGACTTGGGAAGGGCCAAAGTAGTAGGAACAGTATATGGTGTACACGGAGGAACGAAGAATAGGTGGACAGCAATTTGACTTGGAGAGCTATGACCAACAAGGAGAGCCAGCCGCGTCCAAGTGCTGGTTTGACAGCAGTCAGGCCAATAGACCGAGAGAGAGAGCGTTCATTGGCTGGGTCGGCCTGTGATTGGTTGGACAGCGAT